AAGGAAAATCACAACAATTTCTTCTACAACACAGCTTGGTAAATTCCACCTAACACCACACTTAAATCCTTGGATGTCCCAGTTTCCATCTCTGCATCATTTAGCTCCAGAGTAGGTTGGATTAGGCTGACCATATGGAAATCCCAGAAATCAGAGACATCATCCAGGAAGTCTGGGACACTGCCTCTCCTCCCACACACACACACAAGTTGGTAGGTATGGGGCGCCATGCCAGGCAGGCAGTAGTGCCTTCCTGCAAGATGCTCTGCACCGCTCCAGCTCCTGGCCAGACTGTGCCCTGCACTTATAGGACACCCATTATAATTTTCAACAGCTGCCAAGATCCAGCCCCTGAAATTCTGGACTGTCCCAGATAAAATGTGACATTGTCATCCTAGCCATTGGATCTGTGGACCTTATTAGTAAAAGAAAAAAATTCAGGTAAGCATAGTTAATTTTTCCTATCCTATTTCATATTTAAGGTCCACAAATCTATAATAAAGTCCACAAATCCAAAATGGGGAGCAGGCTCTTTTAAGACTGAATATAAAAAATATATACATATCCCATGCAGCCAAAGCTTGGCCTCCTTTACTGCATCATGATACAGTCTTAAACGCCTGCACTATTTTTTTTTTTTTTGTACACAACTGACTTTCTTTAGATATAAATCAGGTTTTATAGCAAAGCAGGCTTTTGTCTTCAATACTTCTACCTCATATGTTGAAGAAACCAAAAGTGAATGAGGTATTACAGGAAGACTGAAGAGGTTTCCATGATAAAAGCAGAAAAAACAAATCTGTCCTTGCAACAGGGTTCCTATGCAATTAGGTAAATCACTTAAACTAAGCGTTTTACTTTCACAATGAGGTGATCTTGAAATTCCTGGTTTTCTGGTACTCAACTGGAGCTGTTAAACCCAGATTTATAGAAGTGCTTAGCACTCAAATGAAACAGAAGTCAATAGAACATGTGCTTTAAATTCAAAGTACTATATAATGCAAAGCACTCCAAAATATTGGGTACTCATCATTTCAAATAAGGCATCTAAAATTAGTGTCCAATTTTGACCTTAATCTTTCTGCCTCAGCAGTCAATATGCAAAATGGTTATAATGCCATCCCTTACTTGACAGGAGCACTGTAAAGATAAACTCATTAATATTTGAGAGACACTTGTATCCAAGTGATAAGCATACAGAAGCCCATGGGGAAATTATTAATTCTGCCTTCAGAAGAGTGTTTAAATAGTATGCAAGTAGTATTTTAGTAATAGACAGACACAAAGCTTCAGCATAAGGATAAAACAAAATATTAAATAGTTGTTCATTAAAATATGCACCATTTGTGTTGGACACTAAATGAGGGGATGGTCTCTAGAAAAAAAGTATGAAAGAATATGATGCATATTGCACACCAGGGCAAATTAAGGCTGCACTAGTAACCTTCATCCTTAATTCTGGCATTTCTCAGCCTCTCCATTTATGTTACTGTTATCACTGTACAGATTTATATTGTACTGTCTATGTAGATCTTCAGGTTTTGGGATATTGTTCAGTCAAGGAAAAGGAGCAGGTGGAACAGCTGAATCTCTCATTATTCTGACTCTAGGGCAAGAAAAATTGATACTCCCAAACACAGGCAGAAGGGGTTGGGCCCCAAGGCAATGTTTTCCTGTAATGAAGAAAATCAACTCCTCTACAGAAGAGGCATCTGAGAGGAAAGTCCCATCCAGCCAAAGGAATGCCAGGTACCACTTCCTAGAGAGTTCTGGTGACTGCTAAGAAGGTTTGGAGCAGGGTACGCAGTGCTGGTTGGAAGGAGGAGATAGACAGTTATTTGTGGGCTAGAAAGGGTCAGAGAGACCCCAACAGTCAGGGCTAGCAAAAAATAAGCAAGAAGGCTGATTGCTGGTTATGCTCGCAAGACTGTTGGGAAGGCCAAGGTGTAGCTAAATAAGAGGGTAAGGAACCATCCTCATTTTACTTTTCTAACTCCAAATCCATATCAAGTTTTGTTTGTGTTATCCTTCAGTCCCGTGTAATAAACCTTCTTGTTGTTTGGCTCCTTACAGATTGCCTATGAAAACAGTGATTTTAGACAAGTAATTCCAGGCTAGCTTGCTTCACAAAGAAGGGTACCTAAAAAATTCTGAGGGCAGTGGAGCTGAGGCACGAAGCCATCCCAAAGCAACCTCTGCCTGCTCCTTGTGGCAAGCAGCATCCCAGTGTACAGAAACTGGTCTCTTGGGTGACCCCACTGCCATGGTCAGGTTTGTAACAGTCAGCAGGGCTGCAACCTACAAATCCAGTGGGGCTGAAGTAATAAATCAGAGATATCCAACATAGACCATGGGCTGGATACAACTCACAGGGGTAGGTCATCAGCCTCCAAGTCTGACACCCCTGAAGTACATGATCCTCTGTGTAAACCAACCCTAGAGCAGGATAAGACACTTTGGTAGTAGGTTTCAGATATTTCCTGACAACATAGGTATATTAGGACAGGACTTAGGTTCTCTATCTGGTGAAACAGAGCATGAGTTACTGTTTCTGCCTTTTAACCCCCTCCATGTTTAACCCCTTCTGCCCTCACCCCTCTAAGATGCCTTTTTCTGCACTTCTGGCTCCTTTAATCTCGATTTATTTTCCTTGACCAGCCAATCCTAATTTCCTCCATGCTCCCCATCTGAGTACCAGTTTCACTAGCCAGCCATTAAGGGTACCTGTAGACCAGTGGTCACCAAGCAGAAGATCTTGATCCACCATCTCGGAGCCTTTTGGAGTCAATCTGAGGATGGGTGCCCATGTGCATGCACACGCGTGCCCCAACCCAACAGGTCAGTCTGTGGGGGAGGGAAGGGGCAGGGGCTAGATCAAGGCCCCCATGATGAGGGAGTGCCACAGAGGCAGGAGCAGGGCTAAACTGAATGGGGCTGCAGCCAGGTGGGATTTACTTGCTGGAGGGGTGTGCCCCCAAATAATTTTTCTCCCTCTTCCTTGATCTGCCCCCCACCCTTCCCTCCCCATAGACTTGCCTGCTGGGCTGGGGCGGGGGGTGGCAGCAGCGGCACATGGTAGATCTTAGGTTGCTTTTAAATGCCAAGGGTGATCTCCTACTTAAAAAGGTTGGAAACCAGTGCTATAGTTCGTGCTCCAGCCAGCCTCGACATCCCATGTATCAGCATCCCTGCACTTTGAAATGGCGGTGGGGCCCTTGAACTAAAGCTTGTTGAACAAGTTTTAGTTCAAATGCTTCCACCACCATTTCAAAGTGCAGGGACACAAGACACTGCAGCACTTAATTAAAGCGCCTCTCCCCACCACTCCCGGAGCACATGTAAAAGTGCCCTAAGTTCTCACTGCTGGGTCTTGGATCCATCACCATCTCATATACCTCTTGAGGTCCCAGTTTTCCACCTCCAAAGCTCCCAGCCCCAGTCTTAGTTTCTTCCCATTCACTGAAGTCATTGACTGATTTCAGTATAACCATAGCTCCCAATCCCAGTCTCCTTGCTAGGCACAGAAACTAAGGGACTAACATATGCTCAGTGCTTTAGAGACCATGGGCATTTATACACACACTTTTTTCCAGAGACATACTAGAGATCCACCACTTCATAGCAGATTTGATTAATCAAGTCTGCTCCACATATAAGCTGAGGCAAACTGCATTGCATTGCATGCTATTGTATAAGCAGCAAAATACATGTCAGCATGCAAAAAATGGCAGCGGTGCGCTTTTGAACTAAAGCATCTCCAAGGTGTTTTCATTCAAAAGTGCACCACCACCATTTTCTCAGTACTGATGCGCATTTCGCTGCTTATAAAACACATGCATTTCAGCGCCAGGCACTTTTCAAAGAGCCCAGCACTGCAATGCATGCATGTGTAAAAATGTCCTTAATTGCTACATTCTATGAAGCCTCTACTTAGCATGTAGAAATGGAGATGTTTCCAGAGACTTGTAGCTCAGCCAAATTTGGGTCCATTTTCAAAGAAAGAGCAAAAAGCATCCCTAACACAAAGACTATGCATCTTTGCGTTTCCAGATCTGTTTATTTAATCAAAATTAACCAAGTTAAGGAGGGGGGAAAAGAATATAAGTACATATAGGGTAGAGAGGCAGTCCAATAGATATCAGTGACCAAAAACATTTGGCTCTTGTGAACTTGCACATTGCAAGTAAAATTCACCTCAACGACTGCGAACTTGCAAATAATTGACTAGTGCTCCCTCCATGTATAATCTTACTTAGTTAATCTATTAAGGTGCATTTCTACCCTGCCTTGTGACTGATTTCAGACTAACTTGGCTAACTACCTCTTGTAGTCTACATCTACCCACAAATGGCAAACAGGCTGAAATACCCATTAAATCAGATCTGTGGATCTTAACAGATAGGAGAAAGGTACTGGCAAAAGCAGATAGTTATGTACAAGGCAGGATCTTATTGTTTAAATAGCTTATACCACTTGCATCCCCCAAAGTGCTCCATAATTCAGGCGATAGAGGGCTTCTGTCTTTTCAGAAGACAAGCTAGCTAGATGACTCCACAACTGACTTCTTAGATATTGCCATAAAAACAGTGGCTTTTGGTTAGTGTTTTTAATGATCTTTTTTACTCTGATTAAGCACTGTCCAAAAAGTATCATGCAAGCACATAGTTAAGAGACTGAAACCAGATAAAAATGGAAATCTTCACCGCAATATATCGTAAAAGGCCAAAAAGAAAAACTTCATGGGACTTTTTTAAAACAAGTTACAAATTAATTTAATTGATATAATATAATTATATTAATAAAATTAAATACAGAGTAGTATCAATAGTTTCACCATATGTACTAATATTTTTCAGAGGCTAAAGGAACTGCATTTGAGGTACAATTCAAATTCTGAGAGCTATTAGGATATCATCTACATTAGGACTGGTCTTATACTTAATACTAACTTTGGCATATTGACATAGTATACATTACCTAATAAAGGCACTATTACTTACTGGGTCCAAATGTAAGACTTCATAAGGGTTGTATTCTTGATATTCTCTGTCCGTTTTGGAAACTTTATATGCAAGAAACAGAAATAATGCCCATCCGGCAAGGAGGATTATTTTCCTGTTTGGAAAAAATATGAAGAATAAAATAAAAGTGCACACAATCCTCTTTACTTTTATTGTAGCATTCTAAATAATTTGTGACCCAAAGTGAGACCATAAACTTAAGAACACCATCAGTATTGGCCGATCCAGTAGAACAATTTCAGAACGAGCACTTGCAATTATAAAATGGCTGTGAACACTAATGTGTCATCTGGCTTACAGGGACCTGGTCTACACTATAAATCTGCCAGCAAAACTCAGGTTCCAAGTGGAAAATTGAGCTGATCCACACATGCACACACAATTGCTCTAGAACACCAGAACCCCTTCTTTCCACCAGCACAGCAACAGCCACTCTGCAAGCAACAGAAGGCTTCTGCTGCCATTGAGACATCACCATAAAGTAATGGAGAAACATCTGTGCTTTCTGCTGACTGCCAGGCCATACCAGGTGAACCAGCCCAGAGCATAGTGAAGTTCCTGCCAGTATAGTTGCAGAGTAGGGTAAAAATCACACTTTCCATTTAAAACTGGACTGTCCCAACAAAATCCTGTCCTAAGCATACAGGCAGTTTCTTCAAATGAATATTTTCACCCCATTTTCAGGACTCCCTGTACAGGTGTCTACATGCTTTCCCCCACCCCATATTCAGCTGAGACAGGAACTCAAAAAGACCTGAGCATGAGAGAAAGCAAAAGGGGAAGGGAAAGGTCTGGCCTGTTTTGAGATTTGAGACATATGGTCACCCTACAGGAGAAGCTTGTGATGTAGACAAACCCTAAGCTTTCTCTGTTGATGTTTAAATGGCAGCAAACTAGTGACCAAACCACTTTCCCCTCCTTCACAAAAAATAAAATCACACCGATTAACAAGTGAGAAAACTTCTCTACATTTGTCAGTTCCAAAAAGTACTTTTCACCTGACCTTGGATGTACATGCTACTTAATAAAGCCACAAACAAAAAGAACTAAAACAAAGTGCATTTGGGAGAAGGCAATACAAGGAAAGGTTATAGGAGAGGATTAAAACAAAAGAACTGAAATAAATAACACCATATTTAATTGAAAGACAGCAGTAACACTGTTAACCCGTGAGAAGGGAATGACAGAATTTTAATTGTTGATAGGATCCAAATCAAATTACTGATTAATGTTAGGTCACCTAGGTTAATTTAACAGGTAATTAAAAAGCTGCAACCACAACAACCTCTCTCTGAATTTCAAGCCCTAATAGACACTAATCCACTAACAACTTTTCATTTTTCAATCATAACATGTAAACTTATTTTTTGGAGAGGTGCACCAATACATCAATCCAATACCAGATCGGCACCGATATAAAGAAAATTTACTATATCAGAAATTGGCCATATCAGGCCGATAAATGGCCCGTGCACGCGCATAGCTGCAGCACAGCACAGGCAGCAGGAAGCACAGCCCAGCAGCTTGGACAGCTGCCCCCAGCTGATAAGTCTGGTGTGGTGGAAGAAAAGGGAAGCGGGGAGACGGGGAAGATCAAGGCCGCTGCAGTGAGGGAGGCATGAGGCTGGAGCAAGCACTGCCCAGCCAGGGCAAACAGGCATGGGAAGCAGCTGCAGTTTGTCCGGGGGGGCACAGGTGGGGAGGGAAATGGCTCCCACCACTGTGCGCCACTTGGCTTGGAGCCGCTGGTCCAGCAGCTTGTCCAGCATTTGGCCTGCTTGCCCAGAAGGGTATACGGGAAGGTGTGTGCCCCCAGGTCTGCACGGGGTGGGCTGAGGCCGGAGCTGTGCCAAGCTCTTCCCGGCAGGGTGGCGCTACAGCCACAAATTCGCCATAGCCCCTTCCCAGCACAGCCCTAGCCTGCTGTAGAGCTTAGCGCAGTCTTGGCCCCAGCCCACCCCACACAGACCTGGGGGTACATGCCCCCCCATATCCTCCCAGACGAGCGGAAGGAGCAGGAGGAGCCGCCGCAGGGCGAGCACCAAACCAGCAGCTCCTGACAAAGCAACGGGAGCCGCTCTCCCCATCCCCGCGCCCCCTGGATGAGCCACAGGTGCTTCCCACACCTGCACCCCTGGCTGGGCAGCACTTGCCCCAGTCACTGCCCCAGCCCCATGCCTACCTCACGGCAGAGGCCTTGATCTGCCCCCCCGCACCTCCTCCCTTTCCCCTTCCACCACACCAGACTTACCAGCTAGAGGCAGCTCTCTGCGCTGCCAGGCTGGGTATCATAAATCAGATCGGTATCGGCAGATATGCCTCCTTAAAAAAAATTGGCTATCAGTATCGGCTGCTAAAATCTCTATCAGTGCACCCCTAATTTTTAGGGCATGAAAGCCATTTCTGTAGTGCGATTAATTCCATCTGTTTTCATTAACAGTTCAAGTTTCTTAACAAAATTACAAACTTAACAAGTGAGAAAGGTAACCCACAGGAAATTCACTTACTTTACTGTAGGAATTATATTTTGTTGTGGTTTTAGTAATCGCAAACGATACCACAAGCATCTTCCATATACTTTTCTTATATTTTTCAATCGATTTTGCTCTGTTAAAAAGGGGGAAAAAAAACAGTAGTTAAAAATTCATCAAAGTTTATTCCAAACCAAAATGATTCTTATGGTAATATAATAGTGGGGTGTGTAGTACAATTCCAACCTGGGACCTTAAAAGAGTTTCGTGATAACAAAAGTAAAAGCTGCTTTATATTTTCAGTTGTTTCTAACCATTAAATTTATAAGTAGGCCACTTTAGTGTGGATGGTTCTGCATCACCTGAACAGGACCCAATTGTTTCAAGATGCACAAAAAAGATAAGCAATGCTGATAGAAAATGAAAACAGGAGATACAGCTTGTCAATTGAATGCCCCATAAACCATGTATTTGCTTTTTTAAAGCCATGGTACACAGTCTTTCCTTTTGATATCAGCCATATCAGGCATACCACAAATTAAGCCTTGCACCCTCCCCAAGTGCCACTCCAACCCTCTTCCCCTGCCTGAACTGCTGTGCTGCTCTGCTTTTTGCCTCCTGCCCTATCTGCCATTTGCTACCTCCCTCCTTCCCAGTCTGCCACATGCCACACACACAGGCTGCCCATGCCACTCATAGCATGCATGCCACAGGCTGGTCAGTCCTGAGCTACAGCATGGGGACAAAAAGAAAAACAGCATGGGGAAACTGGCTTTGGAATAAAACTGAAGAAAGACAATGGGTAATATATGCAAGTAAAACATCAGAAAAATTAGCTGCCTTCAAACACAATTACCTTCATTCTCCGAGATTCACTTTGTGAGAGTTATATTAAATAATCTAAATATGAGACAACATGCATCAATAGGCATTATACATTTCTAGTGGGAGAAATGTTGCTCTGCTAGGAACTGGGGGAGTTCACAATGTTTCTCCTGTAAGAAACATGCCAGATCTGGAAGAAAAAAAAAAAAAAACTCCTCTTTCAACAAGAAGATCTTCCTGTGCAAGAGTTTCTTGTGCAGGAACAAATGTTTCTATGCTTCCCCACTCCGACTCCTTCAAGAGACCAGGAGGAGTAGAGCAGCAGGGAAAGGCTCCCTGTGCCTTCCCAAAACTGGGGTCACCCTATTCTGAGGAATGCATAGGGAACTGCAATAGGTCAAGTCCTCCCAGGACCAGAAAGAGACAGTGCAAGTCATCACTCTGAGCTTGCCTAAACATGCAAAACGCCTATAATGTTAACATTTTATAATATAAAACAGGCTTCAACCTGGTTTCATTTTAAAGCTACAAACGAAAACCAAAATGAAAATCTGCATCTTGAGAAAGGAATAAGGTTTCTCATAAGATCTGTAGTCTATTTCCAAGACACAGAGGTTACAGTAACTTCCTTATTCACAAAAATAAGAACATGTCTGTTCATAGATTACCAGAGAATTAAGTGGATAAGAAATTCCGCATGCCTCAAGTCAGTCCATCTTTGCTGACGAATGTTGAGTAACTGGTTTTGTTGTGCTAGGGTTTCTTCCTATTCACTATTTTCCTAGAGAGGTTTTATATTGGATTTCCCCACAAACTAGCAATGAAGGGAAGTTCAGCTTCTCCAAGAGATCTTATTTCTGGACTTTTCATACTTTTGCAACATCACACATTAAGGACTCCAATAAGCAATTCTTAAAATATTTAATGTTTTTCATCAAATCAAGAATTTTTGCAAGCTAATGCTTACTAACAATGGTCTCATATCTGAATAGTCTGAAGACCATTAACAGACATGCTTCAAGGCAAAGCAAATGAAACTGTAAATTATTACATTCAAAAAGTAACTTCAAGAAACCTTGTTTTCAGACAAGAAGCCACCTGGGAAGGCACAGATCACTCCCACCTTTGACCCATCTTTTGGATACAGGGAAGAGGTCCACTAGTAAGAAGACGTGCACCAATAGACCACCACCACCTGTCTCCTTTGCGATCACCGTTCCTACTCTGTAGAGACATCTACAAAACAACACCTGAATGCTTAGTCACAACGTAGAGAAAACAAGCCCTGTCCCACTACATGTCAGCCCTGGAAGTGAGATGGAGAACACCCCTTGCACCACACAAGGCATGTTAAGAGCAGCAGCCTGGAGCACCCTTATGGCCTTAGTTCTGGGGTGGACGCATGTGGAGCAAGAGCTTATTTCTTCAGAGGTGAGACAGAGTACTGCAGGACAGGCAGGTGGGGCTGAGATTGTGGAGCAGTGACAGCGCACGGATGGATACAGGGAAGAGACCCACTAGTGAGAAGAGCTGCACCAACAGACCACCACCACCCGTCTCCTTTGCCATCACCGTTCCTACTCTATTTAGGGCATTAGAAAAATTTCCAGAAATTTTTCCAAGTCACAACGTACTGGAAAACCCACATCTCTGGCCCTGACCCCGTGTTGTCACTGTTCTGCAATCCCAGCCCCAGCTCTGGCCCCTGCACCCACCCATCCCTCTCTTGGATGCCGCTCCCCACCTGGATGCAGGTCCATCCCATCCCATCCAACCAGCTGAGTGCGCCCTGCTCGCAGGGATCCTAGGTTGATCTCCATGGAGTCCCCACCTACCCATTCTGTCTAATGCTTAAGAGATGTTTCATATATCCATCTACCTTTACCAAATTTTACCATAATTGTCTAACGATCAAAGGCCCACTTGAAGTAGCCATTAAAATCTTTAACCATAACAATACTAAATCACTGTCTTATGGAGCATACCTTACATTGCCTTTTTGGGATCTAGAACTTGCAAAACTTGTCTCTCAGGAGGGTGTAAAGGGGTCTCTCCTTGGGAATACCATATTCCCCTGACAGTATTTCACAGTAGAGTCAAAGCACTACGTGCTGGTAGAATCAAAGCACTACAGGCAGACCACAGGCTACCCATCCAACTCAAAAAACCCAAGTTTTGGCAGAGCAAAGATCAGCACTCATTGCATACTACAGCCCCAAGCAGTTCCACACACTTTTTCAAAACATGCAAAACTGGAGCTGCTTTGTTCTACATCGTGCAACAAGGTGGCTAGCAAAATGTAAAGTATTCAGCTGAATGCTTGGAAGGCTCCTCATCTGCTCTGGTAAGTGAAGCTGTAATTAAGGAACAGAAGAGTAGAGCCTTGATACCACAGGAATTCCAGACTTGAGGAGAGAACAAAATGAAGCTGGAGTCACTGCTATACAAAAATAAAATTAAGCGGATTAAAAAGTGGTTGGGAAAGACTGAACCACGAATATGTTCTTCCACTGAGGCAAAAATACCAATGGACTCAATGAAAGGCCAGGCTTAGTCCTGGATTTTCCAGCATGTACATATGACAGTTTCCAAATTCTATAAATCGGGATATTTTCAGCAGTGCCAAATGACGCGTGAAACAGGGTGACACAATGGCTATTACCTAGCTACCAATAATTTGGGCAGGTTGCCTGAACTAGCATCAGCGCTATAGTCTCAATATTAGCTTCAGCCTAGCACCAATTTGTCCCTCCTTGTTTCAACTACTTGGCAAGAACATAAATTAACCAATTGTCATTAAGATCAGTAACATCCTTTTACTTTGGGGACGTCTATTCTCAAAGAAGATTAATCTCTCTCCTTTTCATGCCTACGGTACACATCAGGGTGTCTGAGCCCCGGGCTAGATCTCTGGGGTTCTTTCCCAGCTGGATCTGCAGGACTGGCAGAGCAACAGCTACAGTGCAGCTGAGGGCTGTCACATAGCCCTCACTTGCCCTCCTGCCATGGACAGCCATATTCAGCAGGGCCAACAGACCCCAAATTCTGCCACAGGCCACATCCCTCCTCAGCCATGTCCCCAACTTCAGGTAGCATAGCAGGCCAGATCCAGCATGCACCCCTGGTATACACTATAAATTAAAGTAGGGGCAGGCAAAATATGACCCGCAGGCTGGATCCGGCCTGCCAGGCTATTTCATCTGGCCCTGGGGCAGGTGCCTACCAGCTGACTGTATCCAGCCCAGCCCTGGGGCTGCCCCTCCTGTGCTCACATGAGACTAAGCCCCACTCACCACTGCAGGGGCAGCACATTGTATGCAACCATTCTCACCCGTGAGACAGCACTGACCCCAGCCCTGCAGGTAGGGAAGCACCAGCAGGAGGGGAAAGTGGTGGCAGGGGAGAATGGTGCTGGTGGCAGGTGGGTGGAACAAGGAGGGGCAGTGGGCAGGTAGGGTAGCGGCAGAGGAAGGGTGGCAGCGGCAATGGGAGTGGTGGTGGTGCTGGGTGGGAGGATGGGGTCTGTGCCGTGCCCTGGGCCTGGAGTCAGGGGAGCACCCAGGGCAGTGTGGCAGGAGTGTGGAGGCTCCATTGCATGGGGCTTGCAGGCAGTTTCTGGGTCCTCTGCCCAAGCCGTCCACCTCCTGGTGAAGCCCCACACAATGAAGCCAGCAGCCTGGCCCCGTTCACTGCTTTGCGCAGGTCATGGGAAACGGTGGAAAGCTCCGTGCTATGGAGCCAGGCCAGCTCCGCCCCTCTCCCTGCCACTCTAGCTGAGCCCCAAAGCTGCACTCGTGGCTTCACTGCACAGGGCTCCCTCAGCAGCATGGAGTTTGGCCATGTGAGCCCTGCGCAATGGAGCCAGTGGCCCATCCACGTGCAGTCCTGGGGCTCACCAGGACCGTGCAGTGCCATGGGGTGCTGCCTGCTGCTGCCATTGACAGCAAGGGCTCTGTGCAACGTGGCATGTGTTTGTAGGGGGGCCCCCATACACCCCCCCATACACACACACCCCCAGCCACCCTCTCCCTCCACACACCCAACCCCTCACACCCCCACACCTTCTGCACATCCCCACAAACACCTCTCCCACAAGCCTCCCATACCCACCCACAGCCCCACTTACACACACCCCCCACCTCAAATTAATACATACCCCCACACCCTTCCCTATACCTCACATACAAACATACCCACAAACTCCATACCCATACCCCTACAAACCCTACAACATATCCCTACAGTCCCCCCACAAACTCCATACCCACATGCCCATACCCCTCCACAAAATACAAGACTTCATCTAAAGCTATTATGCAATCACTTCTATAAACATGACTCTCACACAAATCAGGACAAAATATTTTTTGAAATAAAATTAAAATGTTAGTATAGATGTTTGATTTTTAGTATACAATTTGGTGTTTTTCCAGTTCTAAGGTGTCAAATCCCCTCCCAAAAGGAGTACTTTCAGGGGCGAGGGTAGGGACTTCCAGTAGCAAAAGTCAGGGGGCAGGATTCCTGGTCCCAAAATGGTGACCGGGGCCATGCTTGCAGCCCTCAACTACTCACCAGAACTCATTAAGCTGCCCTTCAGCCAAAATAATTGCCCACCCCTGCATTAAAATACCCAGTTCATTTTCATGACACACCCACACCCACTGTTAAGATGTCTCACTCTTCTCCCACTCCATATTTAATACAGGTATTCCATATAATCCAGTACAGAAAGAAATCCATGATTTAATTCATGTTTATGCTATACTGAGGCTTTCAGTTATTACATGCTGCTTTTCAACATGTTCAATGCCTGAACTGCTGTAGGGTTCAAGAAACAACTTGCACAGCACAGATAGACATGAATGGAGAAAAGGGAATTCACAATCAAGGCATCTGGGCTATGACTCAGATTACTAACAGAATCCATGCAACTTTCTCATCCACATTCATCATTTCACAGTTGCAGAAAGCATGTAAGGAATGGTTCACAATTGTCTGAAAAAAGTGGAAGCTTACACGAAAATGCCTGTTCTGAAT